CGAAAACTAATTTTTAATATACTTCCTGTTTCTGCGCTCTCGTCAGACGATTCGCGGACTATTTCGTCTTCTTTTACTAAATTTATCTTTTTTTTTTTTACATGAAACTTTTCTATCCATCTATCTCGTCGTTAACGAGAAACAAACGACAGTAAGCGATTCAGTTGGACTGATAGCAAAAGGCAATTGGAAGGTACATTTCGAAGTGCATTTCGTTTCGTGTTATTCTCGCACGCACACGCGTGCGAGCATCACGCGACGTGTCACGCAATTCGGATCGCTGCAAGGTGCGACGCGTGAGATGCAATCCAAATAGATGCATAAAAATTCTTGCGCCGCCTACGATTCAAATGCATGGCCGTGCGGTTAATCGCATTGTCGATGAACCGGACGAGAAACTGGAGAACTAAACCGGAAGACGAAACCGTGCGATCATCGCGCGATTCATCGCCGTAATAAAGAAGAAGAACGTTGTGAGACGGACATTACATAATTGTGTATGATGATTGTGACGTAATTGTGGGAAAGAGTTTGATAATAAAACGTGCTGTTTGACAGAAAATTATTACCTATGTTTCGGCGATAACTTATAAAAAGTAATGCAAGAACAGATGCATTTAAAAATGTCTAAAATATGATGTCATGGCTATTAGTAAACGTCATGAATTATCACAATAATATTTCAACGTTTATTCGTTCAGTGCGATTTTTTAAATGATCTTAACTTTAAATATAAAAATAATTCGCATTAAAATTAAGATGAACTTACAGCTGATATTTAATTTATTTAAGGGTTTGATGTAATACAATGAAATTATATTTGATGATAAGAAGTGGATTTGTTTATGTTAATGTGAAATCGTATGTTTACGGATATTTTTTCTTATCTGACATACGCTAAGACAGTAAAAAGTAACAGCTATAATGCAGAATATTAATATATCTATAGTTATATCTATTGTTAATTATGTAATATATTAATAATATATTTATTATTTATTGATCATGTCAAATGTTAAACTAAATATATAGGCTGCATTCCAATATTTACTACCAATACTGAAAATCTGTAATATATGTGACATCAACTATATATTTTCAATTATATATTTTCATTGGTACGCAGCCTATATATTTAGTTCCTTTAACGTGCATGTGATATGATCAATAGAAAAACATACATAAATAAACATGCATAAATATATTATTAATATATTACACAATTAATAATTTATAGATACTAATATTCTGCATTTATATTTATATGTTACTTGAATTTTGTTTGAGCATGTCAGGTAAGAAAGGATAGCCGTAAACATACACGACACACAGCTATAATTAAAGAGATAAAGTAGACAATTTCATCGTATATATAATTATTTCTTAATTACACACACACACATACACACACACATACACACACACACATATATACATAAAACAAACATACGTAGAATGACGAAATTCGGTAGATAAGAATCATACATGTTTCGTATAACATTAATTGCAGTCCGTTGATTGGTTATTTGTAAGTTCGAGGTCACGAATATATATTTGACTTCGAAAAATGCATTTGTTGTTCAAAAATAGCCGATAATCGCTAGTAGAATATTTTAGAACACGCGAGACAATGAATAGACTTTAAAAAGGCACGTGATATAATTGCGCGATAATGTAATCAAATAACCAAACAACTAAGTTAGTCGAAGAATTTAATGCAAAAATGCTGTCTTTTTGTATAAACCACAACCACATCCTGCATATTTATTGTCTGCGGGTATAGATTGCTTTGTAAATCACGAAGCAGGAAGTCCGAGTAATCGGAGGCCCTCAAGGCTAAACCGTCTGGCTGCTGGCGAGGAACAAAAAAATCGGGAAGATGATGCTTAGCTTATCTCGTCGAGACGACGATGCGACGAGAGAACATTATTTTGCCGAGAATCATGTTCAAATTTTTGTTTGAAGCGGTGCACGACGGCTCGAGTTCCTCCTCGCTGTAAGCGTTCTCCCTTCCGTTTGATAAAGTCAGATTACCTAGATCTATTTCTTGGACGAGAGATTAGATCTTGTAGATTGTAAAAGGAGCGTTGTCATGTAAAAAAATTATTTATGTAAAAGCTACTGCCACTTTCCCCTCCATCCTTTTCGACTTCTGCACTTCTGTTTATTATAAATAGCGAAGAAGTTTTGTGACCGGACAAATAAATGTTATGATTAGATCAGCGTAATTTCTACGATATAAACAGAAATATTTCTCGCCGACGTAAGGCTTGCTTTCATTAGTGGGTTATATTATGCTTGGACTCCCTTTTCGACACTGTCATATGACGTAATAATGTGTTTAGTCTGCCGAATGTTTTAGACTTCGTGGTATTTACAGATGGTATGGTATCTTGGAAGGGGGTAAAGATTTCCGAGGGGAAGGAGACTAACTTCCGGCAATTTGTTAATTTGAAATTACCTAATCGTTATACAGAAAATAATTGAGCAATAGCAACAAACTTTTAAAATTTATGGTAAATTTTATAATTTGATTTACAAACTAATAATTATTGAAAATTTTAATCCAATTAATCGCGTTTCATAGCATATTTGTACTTACTTTTTCATGACTTCCAGACTGTTCCAGGCAATCTTTTTTCATTTACTTTACGTTTGCTTTGTACCGCGCGGCCTTGATAATTCTACGTGAAAATTATTCTATTTTCTATGTGTACGTGGGCTAGCGTAGCTAGGCGAGCCAGATTTAGATTTTCTGGCAGCGAGCCAAGAGCAACATAAATAGCCCAATTTGAAAGGCGTATCTCCCACCGTTGGTGGGAAATAATTGTCCTACTTACGCGCGTTTATTAATTTGCAGAAATCGGTATGGAGATTCGAAGATTTGAAAAAGACCATCGTATCAAATGGTGTGTCGAATGGTGTCGCGAATTCTCTCAGACGAATCCGATGCGCTGCCTCGCGCGCGGAAATAGTACCCTGCTGATCTGCTTGATACTGGACACACGAGAGGACAGGAAAATTAAGTATTCCGCAGAATTCCGTTGTTCCTCCCCTTCGTTGGCCTCCCTCTACGCCACGCTCTCTACGGCCACCTTTGCCCGGTTTCAAACGTCACCTCGAGACGACTACGTCGTCAACATCGGCGTCCATTTTTTATCGCCTCCCTTGGCTTGAAAACAAGAGCGTCGAGTTTAACCGTTTCATTAGAACAGAAATGCGTACGTACACATTCAATTTCATTTGTATACTGTCATTCGAGCCCCTAAAATCTAAACCCTACAACGACTTAAGTTACAAAAGAAGTGATTTTTTTTCTTCAATGTTCCTTATTTATCAACTTTCCACGGCGCGTCTTACGTTTCTTGTTTGTTTTTTATAATCCGTTTATTATAGATCGATATAACTTTTCTAATTTTTTTTTTCCCCAGCTAATGGAAATTTCTCCAGCGTAAATGGCAACGGGACATGGGCCGTGCAGACGACGTTTGTTACGACGGAGAAAGAGCATTGGTCGAAATGTTATAAGTTGAAGTTACATAATCGCGACGCACGACGACGGATCGGTTGTCGCGTACGCAGCATAATTCGTGATTAGGCACCTCGTCATTATGCGATTTAACCAGACGGAACGCGTACGTGACTGCGCGTACGCTTCCTTCCTCGTGTTCTCGTGTTCCTTCTTTACTCTCGTTTCGTTGGAATGTCGATTCATCCGTCATCGTCTGTCGCAGCACGCGACACCCTTCGGCGGCGGCTACGCGGATCATGTTCCACCTTGTAATTCTTTTACGTCACTTCCGATATTCGTCCCCTTCTCTTCAATTTCATTCGTATAATGAATTCTGTTTAAAAACGAAGACTATTTAAACTATTTAGATTGATCCAGACTGTTTTTTATTTATCAAATTGGAGTCAACGTTTTACAAGAGAGGCACGCGGCTTTAATGCTTTTGAATATTTATTACTTATTGACATTTATTAATTAATCGTGAAAATTTAGAGACTTATGATCTACGTGTGCATTTTCGTTTCTTGTTCAATTTGTAAGAGACACTTAATTTTTAATTGTTTTAAAATTAAAAAGCGTAT